TGGCTTAGCAAGTTTTATCACAAATATTTGACCTATTGGATTCTAATGCTTCGTCAGCTTTCGGCGTTTCACCCGTATCTTTGATACAGAGGAAGGAGGAGGAGAACAGCAGTTCATAGAAAACCTGCATTTGAAATAAATCTGAATGTTTACAGCCCGATATTTCGAAAATTGAACGTGAAGGCACAGGCGACCCCCCCCCCCCCCGGTATTCCGGAGGCCCTAAAATCACGGACTTTTGGTTTTCGAGATATATGTCAAAATTGAATGAACAAATAAATTCGTAGGTCCATAATAGATGAATGCAATCTCAAATGAAAAGTTTAAATGGTACATCTTGGCGAAGGTTCGGGGGACCAGCCTCCCCTGACGGTCTGTTTTCGTTTTATATACAAACGACAGAAATATTTGAATCAACGTTGTAGCGTACAGCTCATTGTATTGGATCGGTGTCATGGTAATATTACTGATTAAAAACTTTCAACATGTTTAATGAGTCAGGAATGAGAATCTTGAATGTTCATTTTCTCAGAAGAGCTATATTCCCAAATCCAATCCTGATGCGTAAATGTGCAGACTCTGAAGCTAACAGGCTTAGACTGGCTAGATGGTTAGGGCGCTGGAATCGCAATCTGCGGGTTCGAATCCCCGTAACACTGAACATGCTCGCCCTTTCAGTGGTGAGGGCGTTATAATGTAACAGTTAATCCCACTATTCGTTGGTAAAAAGAGCAGCCCAAGAGTTGTCGGTTGGTGGTGTTGACTATCTGCCTTCCCTCTAGTCTTTCACTGCTAAATTAGGAACGGCTAGCCCAGATAGCTCTCGTGTAGCTTTGCGCAAAATTCTAAACAGATCAAATCGGTCTGCAATTAACACTATACATGTATACAATAATATAAAATCTGGTAAATGATGATAAACATTATCCATTCATGAGAAATTGCAACCTTTTAGTTCATATTCTGGGGTGTTTTTGTCATAAGATTTCAACATTTTAACTGTTAAAAATAAATAAATAACTTGCATCTTCGGGCCCTCGGACTCGTCACCAAGAGCAGTAGGCCTAACGTTCGTTCAGGTTGTTGTATAACGTCAAAAAAATAGTACGTGTTGTAATGTTATATTGGGGACAATAGCCGATAACGTTTTGAGGTATATTTAGAGCCAATTAGAAGGGGGACGGGGGGGGGTCACAAACAGACATTCGTTATTATTATTATTTTTTGCATTTGTTAAATTTCGCGACTTGTTTTTATGTGCACCCCAATCAGAACAAAAATGTGACACACACACACACTCTCAGCTTAGAGCTACAAATTATATATACAAATTAAACATTCAAATTATGTTTCTCTTATCTTTAGGGCTAATGATTGTCTTATTTTGTTTTCATGTGTCATCATTTTTTTTATTATTATTATTATTATAGCCAAGGGCCTCAAAAGATAGAAGTGGCTTCTCTCTGAAACTTTGAGAGGGCCTGGACTATGTATATGTAATCATTCCAGAGACACCTTTATTATTGTGATCCGTCATTAAAGCTTTCTAATCTTCTCAAAAAATATATCAAAATTCTCATAATAATAATTATTTTTATAATATTATAGAAACAGAAGGAAAAAGTTTTATAACAATAGGAAAAATAAAGGAAAGTCCAGAACTAGTGGTGGGAATATTTCGGAATCGATCTGAATCACAGATTTAACGTATATCGTGATTTTGGTAACTATTATACTTTTCCTTAATTGATTAGTTACTTTTCTTGTAGCAACATCAAGACGCTGATCGCAGTTGTCTGTCACAAACCTCCATATGGAAACCAAACCTTAAAAAAGAAAAGCTTTAAATTTCGTATATCATTGGTGTTCTAACTTTTTGTTATATATACTACATGATCTAACAAAATAACATTCAAAAATATTATTATCGCCTTTTTATTAGTTATTTTAGATTAGTTCTAACTGGAATAAATGCTTTTAATGTTTGTTGTGCCGCCCCCCCCCCTTTTTTTTACAATGTATTTAAAAGACTGCAGTGAAAACGTTTGGGTCTTTCTATCCATGTTTCACGGAATTAGAAACTTAAAATGTTATTTATAGTTTTAATACCGGCTTGGTCCAACTTGTTTGTAAGTGGGAGGGGGGATAGGAATTTAGTTTCAAACATGAAACCCCCTGGATCCTTAGGGGAGTCAGCAATACAAATTCGGATGCCAGATTCGGGTTCGTCGACCATGAAAATATACTCCTAGACCGTCATTATACCCGGATAACCTTCCTGGATCGTTGTAACCCCCTTGGTAGTGGTGAGGGTCACGCCACATAGATGAGGATACCCCTCCTTTCTAGCCAGCCCGAATCATAACGTACATGACTTCTGTGATGTAACAAGTCGTTGTTATACATCGTACTAAAATTAATGCTCACTGTGACGTTTGTATGTATGTATGTGTAATATATATATATATATATATTGTAGTGCTCAACCAGCTTCTTTTAAGAAAACATCTCGCATTAACTAGCACCGTTGTTTGCTTAGCAAGTCACGTGTTTATAAAAGTCAAAGCACTGTTTGTTAATTCAAAGTGGTAGAACAAACCTATTATGTTACACAAACAACAAAGCCTGCCGGTTAGCAAAACGTGACCTTTGTTCCATATTATGGCATCAGTGCCCAATATTCACAACTTAAGAAACTCGTTCCCATTGTAGTTGCCATAGTAACTCCAGGTTTTCTGACGACAAACAGTGAGCTAGTTACGTCATAACATTGCTGTAGGAAAAGGAAAAGAGAAAAAAAAAAACAGATTTCGGATTTCATCTTCACAGCATCAACATTATAATAATAAAAAAAATATTTCAATTGTATGAGACAACGAAAATTAACTTTTGGTACCCTTCTACTGCCTGGTAATATATGTTAATCTTTTTTTTTTCTCCTTCTTTCGTACACGCAGCATAGTTATTTGGTAATTTCCTTTATAACCCCCCCCCCCCAAAAAAAAAGTATTGTACTTAAAGAATGAAGGAAAGAAATATTGCATTATTGAAGAAACGTTAAATTTAAATTACACTCTACTTGTTCGTGCTGAAAAAATGTTTTTCTTTTTAGCTTGCCCAAAATCACAAAAAAGTAACGTGGTTTCGTTTAGCTTACGCTAATATTGGTGTTGCTGACAGCGGTGCAGGATGAAATAGCTGGCTGATTGCCAATGGTCGTATCTAGCAAAACGCGTTCAGTACATATTCACCACTATCCACATGCACTACACGATTAAGATGATGTTAAACGTTCTTTCGTTTCTTTTTTTAATCTCTTTTTATATAGATATATATATGTGTTGAAATGGAGAATATACTGGGCACTTGCTTAGATCGTGGCGATGGTCACGTATGCAGACCTACCACTTGAAAGAAGTATGTCGATCTACGGACATACTTTGAAAGCAACTGTTTAGTGTAAGTGTATTTCAGTTTTCGTTTGTTGTCGGATATGATCCATCCCTTTTACTAGTAATTAGCCTGCTGGACTCTGAATCCAATGGTCCATGGCTCGCGTCCCGTTACCTCACAAACTTGCACTTTTAGATCGCGAAAGCTTTATTTGATTACAGTACCCTAAGATTTGGCGGTGGGTGCTGTTGACTGTCTTCACTCATGGAATGCTGTTTAAACACTTGGGACGGCTAGCTTTGCTTGAATATCTAAACAAACCAACAAAATCTTATTGTCATTATTATTATTCTCTAGGGTTTTATATATATATATAAGAATGTTACAGGATACGAACTAATACAAGGTTTACACAAATCAATTTAATTTAGCCTCCTAGTGCTTATTTTGTTAGAATAACACAAAAATATTCGTCTTTTAATTTTTTAAACCAAAAAAAAAGAGCTATAAAACGATTTTCGGGAATTTTATTCATTTTTTTATAAGAAAAAAAAATTGTAACGAAAATATAGATTTATATCTGTATACTTGATCTTTCCATGTAACACAGCAATATTTTCTTCATGATTAAACTTACTTGTATGTCTGCTAAATCACTAGTACAAGTGTTCAAAATGTCCACAACCATTAGTGTATATATATGTCCTTATAAAAATGTCCACAACCATTAGTGTATATATGCCCTTTTAAAAATTCAAAAGAAATACTATAGAATGAATATTCATTGAGGGTTGCATTGGAACACTTTGAAGTTGAGAAAATTGATATAAATCAGAAGTAGTGACTAATATAAGTAAAACGCAAATAAAAAATGTTCGTGTATTAATATAGGATATGCTACTACAGTGCCATCTGCTAGAATAATTCTGTACTGTGGAAAAATAATATTTACAGTATGAATGGAATTTTAAGTTTGAAACACTTGGGAAATATTTATTAATAATACATAAACAAAACTTAACCAATCCAAAATTTCTTCAAGACACATTAAGAAGCACAAAGGAAAGCATAGAATAACTGATAGTGAAGGCTGTTTATTTTTCTTTTCTGACTTTACCAGTCATGTATTAATGTAAGTATTCATAATTTACAGTTTTGTTTATATTGATCATATCCTGTATATTACAGGTTTGTAATACTTTGTATAAAACTGAGACTGAACTTCTTAATATTTGAAGTTGTGGTTAAAAAACCCCTCCCCAGTGGGTTAGTTCAGTCCATACACAGATAGCCCATTGTGTAGCTTTGTGCTTTACAACAAACAAACAAAAAGAATTCTTAGAAAAAGCAGTAAGGACTTGTAATCTATTTTAGTTGATGTTTATAGTAAATCATATTGGATACATCTTTTTCTGTTCATAAAAATGTTTTTATGTGAAAAAATTTTAATAAAGATAATTACAGTGTTAACATTTATCATATTTTGTGGTTATAAGTTCAGTGTTGGAGAACTCCTAATCAGTTCTAAATGATCTGTGTTTCTTTTGTTTTTCAATTGCAAAAATGAAAAAAAAGAAACTTGAAAATTTCCATTCTTTTTCTTGCAGGATGCGAGAAAAGCAGCATGTGATACAACCCTGGTTCAGGCCACGGCAAACATGGAGCCTGTGGGCCGAATTCAGATGCGTACTCGACGCACACTCCGTGGGCACTTGGCAAAAATTTATGCCATGCACTGGGGCTCAGATTCACGGTAAATATTAACCTTCAAATTTCATGTTGCTGTATTTTTTAATTTTATTTTTACAAATATCAAATCTAGCAAGGTGAAAAGATACCCTTGTGGATATTTTATTTTAAAAACATTAAATACATTTTTTTATAGTTTAATAACATCAAAAATATAGTGCAACTGTCGTTAAGTGAAATGAAATATACATTTTTGTAAAATGTGATCTGGTTGAAACTAGATATTCCAGATAATTAGGTGTTGGCCAGTGTCTAGAATAATGTCAACGATGTATATTGTCTACCTTTTTTGTTCTCTCCCTCTTCAAGTAAATGAAGCTTATGGAAGTATTGCTTAATGAACTGTTGAAGGAAAAAGAGTTACAAAGTCCACAAAATGTTTGATTCCACAATGGTGGAATTGGACATTGACAGTCTGGCGTTGTTAAAAAAATAATTTTACTTTTCTG